TTGGTTTCATGTCTGGGCTCTTTCCTGCACTCATGGAACAGATAATTCCCAAGTTGCAGTCTGTTCCCAAAGTTGGAAAGTGCTTCTGTTCACTTTAGAAAATTAGTTAGCCTTAAAGCCAGGCATTGGGATTTCATGCCTAGAAGTCCAGTACTTAGGAGGCTGAGACAGGGGGACAGCTGCAATTCTAAGACAAGCCTGGGCTACATAATAAGTTGGACCATGATGGAAGATCCTGTCTTTTAAAAAAATCAATAAAAAATAATTTAAAAAATACCTTAATTTTTAAAACTGACAAAAACAGAATAGCAAAACTACAGATGTCACCAAGAATACTAATGGAAAATTCCTAAACTAACTATTAGTAAGGGAATCTAACCAAAATTTCCAGGAATAATCTACCTTGAGTACTTAAATATAGTCTAGAAAGTTTATACAATAAACTAAAGAAGAATGCTCACAGCCCAGTGTGGTAGCTGGCACATCTATGCAGTCACACACACACACACACACACACACACACACACACACACACACACACACACACACACACACCACACACACACAGAGTCTCTCACTCTCTCTTTCTAAATATTTAAATGAAGCAAATGGGGCTTCAGAGATTAGGAACACTTTGATGCTTTTTTTTAGGATTTCTTTTTTATTTATTTTGTATACAGTGTTCTGCCTGCATGTTTACCTGCAGGCCAGAAGAGGGCACCAGATCTCATAACAGATGGTTGTCAGGAATTGAACTCAGGACCTCTGGAAGAGCAGCCAGTGCTCATAACCTCTGAGCCATTTTGCCAGCCCCACTTTGATGCTCTTGCAGGGGACTAGAGCTTGGTTTTCTTCACTCACATCAGGTAGCTCACAACTTCCTGTAACTCCAGCTCCTGGGAATTGAATGCCTCTTCTGGCCTTTGAGAACACCCCACACACATGTGCACATATACATACAGACACATAATACACACAAATATACACATACAGCCAGGCGTTGGTGGCGCACGCCTTTAATCCCAGCACTCAGGAGGCAGAGGCAGGAGGATCTCTGTGAGTTCGAGACCACCCTGGTCTACAGAGCGAGTTCCAGGACAGCCTCCAAAGCCACAGAGAAACCCTGTCTCGAAAAACCAAAAAAAAAAAAAAAAATATATATATATATATATATATATATACACACATACATACACACATAGTGCACATAAATTTAAAAAAATATTTCCTTTTTTTGAGTTTTATATGATTTCCTGTAACCTAGGCTGTCCTTGAACTCCTGATCCTCCTGCCTCCACCTCCTGAGTGCTGGGATTACCCGTGAGCATCACCACAGTGGTTCTCAACCTGTGTGTTTTGACAAGTTTTGGGATTGAACAACCCTTTCAAAGGGATCTCATATCAGATATTTACAATTCATAACAGCAGCAAAATTAGCTATGAAATAGCAACGAAAATAATTTTATGGTTGGGGTCACTACAACATGAGGAACTGTATTAAAGGGTCACAGCATTAGGAAGGTTGAGAACCACTGCTCTAGGACAATTTTATCAAAAGAGAAAACTTCAGAGCCAGCAAGCCTCAAATCTTGGCAGCTGTCAAAAGGAGGGAGTAAAGCCCTGCCTTGTGAGTGAGGGGCTGAGCAAGTTGTTCCATTCAACACAGGAGGCTGTCAAGCAGCTTCATTGACGGGAAGGGGAAGCTTCAGAGAAAGATTGAAAAAGCATGCTTAGGCTTCTGGGGAATATCCGAAAGATAAAAAGAAAAAATAAATGGTTATACTTTTCTAACTTAGAACTTTAAAAAAAAAAAACAGGTGGCCCTATAGTAGCAGCTGCAAAAATAAACACAGCAGTTCCAGGACAGACCCTTCCTCAATAAGCAGATAGGTAAATAAATAAATAAAATCTACTGTGTGCCATGGTACAATAGAAACCAGCAATCTAGCCATTACTGATGTGAGGATAAACTGATAAAATTTTGGCAACATTTTGAAAAATGTTTAAACTTAGCCATTCATGTTCAGTAACTTACCCTGAGTAAACTTTCAGCCACAAGCAGGGAGACTGACAAACTTGTGAGATAGCATGGCTTTTCAGCCTGCCAAACACTTGAAAAATAGTCATATGCTTAACCTTAACTTTCATATGGCTACATAACAGAGCTATCAAATTTGTACTTTAGAAAAATAATTAAAGATATAGTGACCTCTGTAAGCTCCTGCACACATGTGGAGCACATATATACACATAAGCACACACACATACAATAAATCAACTTTCAAAAAAGGAATTAAGAGGCAGGGGAAATCAAGAACTGAAGTCAGCCTGAGTTTCACAGGGAAGCCACGTTTCAGAAAAGCAATACATAAATAAAGTTTGTTTTGTTTTTTGTTTGTTTGTTTTTTTTTTTTTTTTTTTTTGGTTTTTCAAGACAGGGTTTCTCTGTAGGTTTGGAGACTGTCTTGGAACTCTCTTTGAAGACCAATCTCAAAGAGTCTGAAGAGTGAAAAGCATGATGCAAAGCATACAGAACATGTTCCTGTATGGCCTGAATTTTGAATCCTCTGGAACTAGAATTACAGACAGTTCTAATTTCCATGTGGGTACTGGGAACTGAACCCAGGACCTGTGTAAGAACAACAAATGCTCTATAACCACTGAGCCATCCCTCCAGCCCTATAATCATCAGCTGAAGTATGGGGTTGGCAAGGTGGCCTGAGTGAAAAGAGCATACTACACAGGCCTGAAAACCTGAGTTCAATGCCATGTAAAGTTAGAAAGAAAGAAGTGACTCCACAAAGCTGTCCTCTAACATATCCTTACATGCAGTGCTGGATGGGCATGTGCCCCCAAACACACACATATACACGTGCACGCACACACACATGCACACATGCGCACACACACAACAAATAACTTTCAAAGCACTATAAAAATGAAGAATGCTATTGCCTCTATGAGTGTAACTCAGTGATAGAGCACCTACCTAGCATGCCCATGTTCCTAGTTCTTTGCCAGTGCTGATAGATAGATAGATAGATAGATAGATAGATAGACAGACAGACAGACAGATAGATAAAATCAAGCCAAACGGCCTGTACAAATGAAAAAGGAAAGTTTATTGACACTAAACTTTTTTTCTTTTTCTTTTTTTTTTTGGGTGGGGGGTCATTGAGACAGGGTTTCTCTGTACAGCCTTGGTTGTCCTGGAACTCACACTGTAGACCAATTTGGCCTCTAACTCAGAGATTCACCTGCCTCTGCCTCCTAAGTACTGGGACTGCCACCTCCTGGCTGGCACTACATGTTTCTTAAAGATTTGTGGATTTTAAAAAAAATTTAATTATGTGTATGTGCAAGCGTAGTTTGAGCTCTTTAACCCCTGAGTCCTCTCTCTAGCTCCCCACCTTTTTCTCTTAAAATACATTTAGGCAAGAAGAACACACACACTCACACGCACGCATGCACACACACGCGACAACTAGTTCCCTCCTTCTACGATGTGGGTTCCAGGGATTGAACTCAGGTCCTCAGGCCTGGCAGCAAGAATCTCTACCTGCTGAGACACCCTCCCAGCCCTGGTACTACATCTTAATGTGAGAATGTCCACAAGCATATTTTCACAAGTATAATACATATATCCTTCGATCACAAACAGCAGACTAAGGATTGGGAAAATAAAGACCCAATTGGAAGGTAGGCAAGGTACTATACTCCTATTGATGCTAACACTTGAGAGGTGGAGGTAGGATGATAAGGAATTCAAGGTCATCTTCTGCTACACAGAATGTGAGATTAGCCTAGATTACATAAAATTCCATATCAGAAAAGGTGGGGGGAGGGGTATCTCAGCTGGCAAAGTACTTGCCACATAGTCATGAAGACCTCATTAAATCCCCAGACCAACATAAAAAACCAGGCACAGTGCACATGCTTATTTATAATGCTGCCTGTGAAGGTAGACATGGAGGACCTTGGGGGCTTGTTAGCCAGCCTGCTTAACCTCGGTTTCAGTGAAGGACTGTCATAAAAAACATGGTTGATGGTGCCTGAGAAATAGCACTTGTGACTGACCTATGGTCACCACATGTATGCATACATATGAACACACACATACATGCACACACATAACACACATAGAAAAGGTCAACTCAAATGACAAAACAACCAATATGGAGGCATGTCCCTGGTCCTAAACAATCTTTCACTGTGTTGCTGTGTGCTCAGCAAAAGGAACAGAGCACAGGAGGAAGAGAAACCCCCCAAGCAGCCCCCAAGGAAGGACGGACTCTGAAGAAAAAGACTCAAGCTGCCACAGTTGCCTCCCTAAACCTCAACAACCCCCGCCCACATGTCTCACTTAGGCTAAGTCCACTTTCAAAAAATATTTTCTCGACAGTAGGCATAAGGAGAAAAAAGGAGCCTTTCTTCCTACACCATTTGGCTGCCACATATGGTACTGCTCTGAATAGAGGCTTTATGAGGGAGGGTCCACAGCCCACAGGCATGGGTTAGGCCACTAGCCACAAACAGCAAGAAACAGACCTGAGGATTTATATGTCCGGGCAGCAGAGGCACACTCGATAATTCAAATGGAGCTGCTGTCACATCCCAACAGGCATTATGGTCTACTGAGTGTCTAGGAGACCTAGGCACCATTTGTAACTCTATCCCAAACATAGAACTCACACATACGCACACAGCGCCTTTGTTCTGTTTCAGAGCTCAGACGTGAAAAGCAATGATTTCAGCTGGAGGTTTTTGACAGCTTAATTCAATGTATCACGTGTCTCCTGAGTGAGAAAGAGGGTAAAAGGAGAGCCTCCATCCCTAAGGAACAATTAGGGGACACAGTCTGCATCCTATAGCCCATGGGCCACGCATGCTAAACCCTGCCTTCCTCGACCTCCATAAGTGTTCTGTAAGGGGCAGAAGCACTATGTCAACCCCAGAGCTGGCTGCCGTACCCTCCCTGAGCTCAGATGAATCATACATACTTTTGCCGCCATTGTTCTTCAGGACACTGGAGAGGTTGACAGAAGCAGTTCCCAGTAGTTCATTTCTCAAGGTATGACAGCTCCAGACCTTCAGATCTAAATGACTCTGGGCTGTGACATTCCTGGAAAACAAGTAAGTGATTCATCACAGCCCTGCAGATAAGCTAGTCACCCCTTTAACATGAAACAAACTACTAAAAAGCTATATCGCTAACATATTGCAGGGGACAAAACAGGAAGGCAGCCACATTCACACCTCATACACTGACCTGTAAGCCCCTAGCTAACAATGAGTGCTCTGTGAGCTCAATGAGATACAAGCACAGGGAGGAGCAGCATGGGGGTCAAGGGCAGCAGAGCATGCCACCCCAGTCTTCTCTCCACCCCTGCCTGCACTCTAAAATGACGCCCTTACAGAACGATGATTTCATTCCAGAGAAGCTCAGAGCTCCCGATGCGCTTCCCAGTCTTCTTGGTCTCACTGGGGAGTCCGTCTACTGCCACCTCCACATAGGAGTTGATTCTCGGCTGGCGGTTGTGCACCTTGGGCTTTGCTGACACCACTGAAGGGACAGAAAGAAAAATGCAGACAAGCCAATGAACTATATACACCCTGGCTCCTTCTGGTTATTTCCTAAAGATCTTTCTGTTTTGTTTTGCTTTTTTCCTCTAAATATTTTTGAAGAATTACATGGTGATAGTTCAGGCAGGACAATGTTTTCTGTGAATTATCTGAAATCCTCATTTCCATACCCAGTACCCACGAAAAGGCCAGGTGTGGCATAGCAGTAATGTTTGTAAACCCACAGACAGGCCGATCCCCTGGGATCAACTATCAGCCAGGCTGGTCTACTTGGCAAATCTCAGGCTCTGGCAAGAAATTCTGTCTCAAATAAGAAGGTGCCTGAATAATGACACCCAAGGTTGTCCTCTGACCTCCAAATGTCTGTGTGTGCGCGCGTACACACGCGTATACACACACACACACACACACACACACACACAAATAAGAAACAAAAAAGGGCATAAACAAAACGAAGAAAATAAGGAAGTGTGGACATATAAACAGTACGAAATATAAAGGGGAAAAAAAATCACTCCTAACCTAAAAACATATGAGATAGCAAAGGTCTTTGCCTGCTACCTGCAAATCAACTTTTAAATGACTGTCACAAAATCCACTGCACAGCTGTGCTAACTTTTTCATTGTTGAGATGACTGCAGCTCTTGGCTCTGGGGCAATTAGCAGGAGTGCAGCTTGCAGGCATGGCTGGAGGGGAGGGAACCTCTGGAAGCAGGGACTCCCTGTGGTGCTCTGAGTACCTCCATTTGGCCATACTGCAAAGGCGAGTGCTGTTTCCCCACTCTTTGCAAACCACACTGATTTTTAAAAATAGCCTAAAGATGATCACTAAGATTCAACAATTAGTACAGACACTGTAATGCACACATCATTGGACTGAAGCTTCACAACAAACTCAGGAAGCAGGAAATATACTATCATTTTAATTGTGCCGGGAAGAAATAGGCTTAAAATGAGAGATCACTAAGGCTGGGTATGGGGACATAGAAGAAGAAGAAAGATTGCTGCAAGTTCAAGGCTGGCCTGGTCTACATGGGGAGTTCCAGGCCAGACAGGGCTACTCTCAAAATACAAAACAAGAAAGCCAGGCAAAGCCACTCAGGCCTATAATCCCAACTTGAGAGGCTGAAATACGGAGGGTCATGTTGAAATCAAAAGTCCACCCTGGGCTACAGAGTGAGTTCTAGGTCAGTCTGGGCCTGTGCGTGTGCGTGTGCGTATGCGTGTTCGTGTAGCTGTATGCCATTCCTGGACTTTGCCACTTCTCTTCGACGGCAGTAAGACTGAGCACACTCCATGACGGTCAGCCACCTGTATTGCTTGTTCTGTTTACAGCCTTAATACGAATCAATCCCAGTTAATCTCTCAGTCCCTGCCCCTCTCCTCTCATTTTGGTTTTCTTTTGTTTGTTTCCTACATAGCATCTTGCTATGTAGTCCAGACTGACTTGAACTTACCATGCAGCTGAAATGGCCTCTGTCTTCTGAGAACTGAGAATACAGGCTATCTAGCACACAACAGCCCTTGTGACAGTCATTTGTCACCAACAAACTGGTAAAAACCCACAGAACATAAAGCCACGCATATCAGATCCTATGGGCACCTATCCTACAGCATTCATGACTCACAGCAGGAACTCTGGGGTGATCAGAAGAAGCACATCTAGACGCCATCAACACTGCCTAAGTCAGAGGATAACTGATATTCCTCACCCATAATGACAAGACCTTCATAAGGTCCCTCCTATTGAGAGAAAGCTAAGCTCCTTCCCAGACCCCTCCAGGAGGGGTCTGCAACTTGGCAAAGGTCACAGCCACCCCTAGATTTTTTAAAGCAGTAACTACGCCAAACCCAAAAGCAACAGTAGGGAGGACGTAAAAAACAAGACAAAGGAACGCTGTGAGGTTAAGAGTCAAGCAACAGGGCCGGGTGGTGGTGGCGCACGCCTTTAATCCCAGCACTCGGGAGGCAGAGGCAGGCGGATCTCTGTGAGTTCGGGGCCAGGCTGGACCAATAGCCTTGAAAACAATACAGGGAAACCCTGTCTCGAAAAAACAAAAAACAAAAAAAACAAAAAAAAAAAAAGAGTCAAGCAACAGGGATGGGGTTGAGAATAAAGGTTTATCACAGACTAAGACTAAGTGGAACATGTACCACTTTACACACATATCAAGGCTGTCTGAGGCCACCTGGTGGTAAGATAGAAGCACTGAATCCCTTAGCTTTAAAACTAGGGACAAGTTTTAAACAGTACTAGAAACTTCTTTAAAATCAACAAGTTTCTGCCAGGTATGGTGGCATAGACCTTTAGCTCCAGCATGCAGGAGGCAGAGCTAGGTACATTTATGTAAGTTCAAGGCCAGTCTGGTCTACACAGGGAGTTCCAGACCAGACCAGCCGGACTATGTAGTGAAACCCAGCCTCAAAAAAGGGGGCTGGAGAGATGGCTCTTGCAAAGGACCTAAATCTAGTCCCCAGCACCCACTTAGCAGCTCACAACCATCTGTAACTCTAGCTCCTGGGAGCTGATGCTGTCTTCCAGTCTCCACAGGTACAAGACATGAATGTGGTAAACATACATATATGCAGACAAACACGCATACTCATAAAAATAAATCAATCTGCCTCTGTCTCTGGAATTCTGGAACTATGGGCATGTACCACAACACCCAATTTATTCAGTAGGACTGACCCCAGGGCTTCATGCATGCTAGGCGAACTCTACCAACTGAGCTACATTTCCCAAGTCACATTGGCAAACATCTGGGGTCAGGGGATTAATCTCTAAGTACTTTTTTTTGTTTGTTTGTTTTTGTTTTTGTTTTTACGAGACAGGGTTTCTCTGTATTGTTTTGGAGGCCGTCGGTCCAGCCTGGCCTCGAACTCACAGAGATCCGCCTGCCTCTGCCTCCCAAGTGCTGGGATTAAAGGCGTGTGCCACCACCACCTGGCTATCTCTAAGTACTTTAAATGTAAGTACTTGGTGTTAAACAATAACAATCTTGAAAAGAAAAATCAAGTGGGGGGATGGACAGATTTGAGGAAGCTAACAAGACACAGCTATAGAAATTTCTGAATAAAGCTAAAAGCAGCTCACTCAGAGACAGCAAGTGCAAAGGCCCAGAGGCAGAGGCCTGCCGTGTGAGTGCAGTGTAGACCCAGGAAGCCAGACAACTCGGGCAAAGTGAATACAGAAGGTAAGAGGACACACATGAGAAAACAGTGGCCATCGGCTTTTACTCTGAAACGCAGGGTTCTTGGTGACTTATACTGTGTAAGTCACAGTCTGAAAGGGAGACAAAGGGCAGAATGCAAGAGGCGGGTCTGCAGACCTCAACCAGAATAGAATGCCCTTGGCTAGGGACGGGCAAGACTGGGAGGGGGGAGAAGTGAGCACCAGATGCCAGCTTCACTGCTAGGTTAATGCCAGCTCCGAGAAGAGAAAGTCTGGAGCACAGTTCCAGACACGGGCTCTTTTCTGTGGTCACTAATGGGATTGCAATCGGCTACTAGATACACGAGTCAGGAAGGTCTGGGCTGCAGACAGAAATCTGACAGTGACCTTTTACTGGAGGCATTTAAAGCCATGAGGCTAGATGGGACCACCTAGACCATTAATGTATAGAGGGGGAGCCCAGGACACAATTCCAGACAATTTTAGCTGAAAGTCCCATTTTTCTCGCCTTCCCATTATTTGCCTTTCTTTTCCGAGAACTCTAGTTATAATATGACAATCTTTTGAGAACAAATGCTTCTACAACTATTTCAGAAGACCTGGTTCTCTAGACAGATGTGCCTCAAACACTTCATTCAGTACCACTCACCTTTCAGGGTGAGCTGGGACTTCTCAAAAGGCAGGGCCACTCCTGCCCGGCTGGAGCTGGCAGATGCCATGTCATCACCGTGGAACTGCAAGGGAAGCAGATGGGGTGTTAGACAATGGCTGAGAAGGACACCAAAGAACCCAACCCAATGGGCTGCAGAAATGGCTCAGTGGTTAAGAACATCCCTGGCAGCCGGGCGGTGGTGGCGCACGCCTTTAATCCCAGCACTCGGGAGGCAGAGGCAGGCGGATCTCTGTGAGTTCGAGGCCAGGCTGGACCGATAGCCTCCAAAACAATACAGAGAAACCCTGTCTCGTAAAAACCAAAAAAAAAAAAAAAAAAAAAAAAGACCATCCCTGGCCTCTACAGAGGACCTGGGTTCAATCCCCAGCATCCACATGGTAATTCACAACTATTTGCAACTCCAGTTCTAAGGGATCTGATGCCTTCTTCTCATAGTTTTCAGACATACATGCAGGCAAAATACTCATCCACATAAAATAAAATAAATAAATCTTAAAAATTAAAAAGAAAAACTCAAGCCCTGGGTGGCTGCAATGGTACATGCCTACAATCAGTGGCAGCACAAATTTATAATCCCAGTACTTGCAAGGTGGAGGCAGGAGAATCAGATCAAGGTCATTCTCAGCTATCTACTGAATTCAAGGCCAGCCTAGTCTACACAGTGAGCCCCAGGACAGCCAGGATTACATAATAGATCTCATCTCCCAAAAGTATAACTAACAAGTAAAACAATAAATCCAACTTTTTATGAGTCTTTTGAACCTAAAGATCTGATTGAACATTTCTCCAATGATCCCAAGCAGCTAATAAAGCCATTAAAAAAATGTCTGATACTACACAACAGGTGTCCCTGTCACTCCTGGGGGTTGAAGTAGAAGTTCACTTGAAACACAACTCGTTCTAAAATGTAATTTTTTAGAACATCATCATTTTTCATTTGGAAAATATTGGTTCCTTGAGCTTTATAGGTATTCTAAACCTTAACCCACTTCATTATACATTAAAACACACACACACACAGACACACACACATTTGTGAATGTCATTGGTGATCTCATTAGACTAGTGTCAAGCCTGTTGTGGTAGAGTGGTCCAAAATCCTAATTTTCTTGTAAGAACAATTTTGTTAGTGGCAACAAATTCTTTCAGTTGTTTTCCTTAGAGTTTCAGGTTTGCATCATTCAGTTTGAAGAAAATTTGTGCCAGTTTCTCAAATCTAGTAACTTCCATTTGTTTCTCAGTTGTTTTCTGAAGGAAAGATGGTTATTGGGTGAAAACATCTACAATGGGCTCTAGTTCCTAGAACTGATCAGGTGCTTGTCTTCAGCAGTTACCACAGTTCACCATGCAGCAGATGCACACTTCAACAAAGAGAATATAAAAAGACATGCTCAAAAGTCAGATGGGCTGACAAGATGGCTCAGCAGGTCTGACACCTGCCACACAAGCCTGGAGACCCGAGTGCAATCCGTGGAGCCCACATGGTAAGAGGAGAGAACCGTCTCCACTGACCACTGACCGCCACATAAGCCGTGGCATATGCACGCACGCGCACACACACACACACACACATACACGCACGCACGCATGCGCGCGCGGACAATATTGAGAATAAATGGTGAAATGGCTCAGCTGTTAAGAGCATGTACTGTTCTAGAGGAGCTGAGTCCAGTTCCCCGCATCCACATCCAGCAACTCACAACTGCCTGTATCTCCAACTCCAGGGGATCCAGCACTGTGGCTTCTGCAGGCATCTGCACAAATATGCACACACATACGCATACACATAAATGCAAACTTTTTAAGTATAAGAACACAGTGAATTTTTAAAATTTATTTTTGGAGACAGGATTTGTCTGTATAGCTTTGGAGCCTGTCCTGGAACTAGCTCTGTAGACCAGGCTAGTCTCGAACTCACAGAGATCCGCCTGCCTCTGCCACCAGTGCTGGGATTAACAGTGTGCACCACCACAGCCAGCTCATTCAAGTATTCCGTATTCCTTTCTACCAAGACTGTGTGCTGATGGAGAGCATGGAGACACCAGCACTCTCGGCTGCAGCACCAAGGGCTTGCTTGACTGGTACTCACAGTGGGACAGTAAATGGCAGGTGAGTGTGTTTAGTTTTGGTGATGCAGGCTCAGAGACGTATGGATGTCTGAGGGTCACACGAGAAGCGGCTGCTATACAAGCAGTGTGCAGGCTGAGAGGTACACAAGTGAAACTCTAGAACTTGAAAGGCAGGAGGATCACTGTGAGTTCAAGGTCAGCTACACAGTAAGACTTAGCCTCAAAAACAAAACCCTGTATGGGTTGCATGTGGTAACACACATTTATAATTCTAGCAACACTCCAGAGGCTGAGGCAAAAAGGTCACAAGTTCAAGGCTAGCCAAGACTACAAAACAAAACAAACCATCACCAGAGCTGTACTCATGACAGGAAAAGTCCTCTGTCAGAGCTACACCTCTGACCTTGGACTGGTCTTTACAGATATTCTGTCTCTGGTGGAAACCTCCAGAATACTCCTTAGAGAAAAAACAGTATAGTATTCTCCAGCTCAAGATCCCAGGAGACCTTGTTACCACCTCCAAGGATGATTCTCAGTCCCCTCCACATGGCTGTGCAGACAGCTCCAGACACAACTGAGCGCTCTCTTCTCTGAAACTCTAGCCTCTAGGACCTCACAGCTTTCTTTGAGTTCTCTGCCTTTTCAAATTGTGATGTGTTTCTAAGATGGGATGCTACATCACTCTTGAAAGATGGGAATCCAGTTCACATGCGCAATTCCTTAATATGGTGAAGGGAGGGGGAGGGAGGAGGGAAGAGGTGAGGAGAGAAAGAGAAAGAGGAGGACACACAGTCTAAGTACAGGAGAGTGTCCTTGGTGAACACTTGAATTTACACAGCACTGTGTCACAGGGGACACACGGGTATAAGGAAACATGACAGCACAGAAAGGAAGGAGCCACCTGAAGCCAAAACAGGAGTTCCCTCTTTACAGGACAAAAGGAGGGAGACTGAGAAAGAAACTTTAGCTGCACGTGCAACATATCTTTGCTTGTTTGTTTTTGGAGACAGGGTTTATCTGTGTAGCTTTGGACCCTATCCTGGAACTTGCTCAGTAGACCAGGCTGGTCTCAAACCCAGAGATCTACCTGCCTCTGCCTCTGCCTCTGCCTCTGCCTCTGCCTCTGCCTCTGCCTCTGCCTCTGGAGTGCAGTTTTTTAAGGGCTTATTTATTACATATACAAAGTTCTATCCACATATATGCCAGCAGGCCAGAAGAGGGTACCAGATCTCATTACAGATGGTTGTAGTCACCATATGGTTGCTGGGAATTGAACTCAGGACCTCTGGAAGAACGGCCAGTGCTCTTAACCACTCTCCCATTTTATCTTTTAATACATGTATAGATAACATATATTAGATGTTTCCATGTAGGAGTAGTTTGCCTGAGTGTACGTATGTACACCATGTGCTTGCCGGGTGCCCATGGAGGCCAGAAAAAGGCTTCCGATTCCCTGGAACTGGAGTTATGCCCAGTTGTGAATCATGTGGATGCTGGGAACTGAACCTGGATCATCTAGAGAAGCAACCAGTGCTCTTAACCACTGAGCCCTCTCTCCAGCCCCAAATCAGAGTTCTTATGACTTTATTTGGGTCTCTGAACCATTTATTTTGTAAGCTTGACCTTTTTTTCTAAGTGAACAACAATTTTCAGGAGGAAATTTCATTATAAATCAGGCCCTGGGGTCAGTGCTCTAACAAGGCTAAGACACTAAAAGTTGGAAACTCACTATTTATAGACTTTAAAAACAAAAGACTGTTTTTAAAAATCTAGGGGCTCTCTTCCCTACGGCCACTGAAGTAAGGGTAGTTTCTTAACCAGCTTGTTCTCTGGAGCTTTGGTCGTTGGTCCAAACTTTTAGACAATGAAACTTGGAGCTGTCACATGACTTTGTTAAGGAGGAGAAAAACTTAAGTGTCTCGAGTTACAATCAACAGCCCCAAAACAAAACCAAGGATAAATGCTAAAGAAAGCTCAGAAAGGCACTCGGGAGACAGAGACAGGAGGATCTCTGTGAGTTCAAGGCCAGCCTGGTCTACAGAGCAAGTTCCAGGACAGCCTCCAAAGCCACAGAGAAACCCTGTCTCAAAAAAGAAAAAAAAGCTCAGAAAGAACAAAGCCAGCTGAGAACATAGGAGAAATTAGGGCCCAAAATTCTGCAATGCCTTCTCTCTCCAGTCATGCAAAATTACACCCCGCCATTTATGAGCACTGATCTGTTATTATGTGAGCTTTGTCTGAAGTTCCAGATCCAATTAGCCAGGTACCACCTGATCATTACAAGGTAAGCTATGCGAACTGTAAAACCTGTCCAATGTGCACACAAAGAAAAGCAACCACAACTAGAAAGTGAAGATAGACACCAGTCTGCTGAGTGTGCTGGTTTACATCACTAAACCTACCACACAGGAGGCTGAGACAGAGGCCAGAGTTTGGGGCTAGCCTAGACTATGCGGCAAGACTCTATGCAAAATAAATAAGAGACATTGATCGCCAAGTACTTAGAACCTACTGGCTTTTGTCTCAGGGTCTCACCATCAACATGACATCATCTAAATGAGTACTGTGTTGGGTTCATATCCCCAGTGCACACTACAGGGAGTTTGGAAAACCTGAGCACAGAATGTGTTCACCTGCTGATTCAGAAACAGAGAGATGACTAGTAACTCTTGCCAGCTAGTAATGAGGAAGTGTTTACATACAATCAGAAAGACAGACAGAGAAGGGGGAAGAAAGGAGAAGGAGGGAAAAGAGAAGAAAGAAAACAAAGTCGAGAAAGTGAAGCTACCTTATGAGCCCAAGACAGATGGGGGGTGGGAGGGAAAGACTGATGTTTAAAATATAACTGAAGGCTGGGTATGCCAAGAACCTCACCCCTGAAGACAGCAATGGGTGGTGAAAAGTGGGGAAGACACCAAAACTTCTTTCTTTTACTAAACTGGGCAGATTTTCTAAATAAATAAGATGGCATTTTATCGCCTCATAAGTCCTG